TCTCCACCGAGTCGCTGCCATGGATCACGTTCCTGAAACCACACACACACACACACACACACACACACACACACACACACACACACACACACACACACACACACACACACACACACACACACACACACACACACACACACACACACACACACACACACACACACACACACACACACACACACACACACACACAGAGAATAAAAACTAATTAAATCATCACATATTGCTCCATCTCATCATTCAGCTTCTTTAAAGTCTTTCTCTAAAACAAAACAATGAATGTTCCTTCCATGCATCGTGTCACCAATATCCTGAAGTATAAAGAGGAAGTGACCTTATTCATATTGTGAATCGTTGACTGAAGGTCCGACCTGCATCATCCTGCTTCCTGTCTGTAAAGTTTGTCTTACCTGCCCACCTCCACACAGAAATCTCCTCGGATGGTTCCGGGTAGCGAGTCCGCCGGGTTCGTCTCTCCCAACATCTTACGCGCCGTTGTTACCACGTCAAGCCCCTCCCACACCTGCACAGACCGACACAGGAGTACAATGAGCGAGCAGAAACAATATCACAGGGTGCCGTTCCTCCTGTGGGACCGAATACTTCATCAATCCCTGAGGGGAAATCCAGGTTCACACTCCGTTATTAAGAGACCTTCCACTCACACACACACACACACACACACAGAGGGCCAAAGAAACAGAACTATGTTCTGCTGCTGAGCTGACTTCATCTTTCAACACATCCACAAATATCACTTTAATGTCTGCAGGCTCATGAGACAGAAACCAAACATTACTCCGGGTTAAACTGAGCTGCGTCCCCGATGTTCACAGGATGCTGATTCATAGTTTACAAACCTGCTGCAGAAAGAATCAAGATGCTCGAGGGAACATCGGGGGACGCAGCTCAGTTTAACCCGGAGTAATGTTTGGTTTCTGTCTCATGAGCCTGCAGACATTAAAGTGATATTTGTGGATGTGTTGAAAGATGAAGTCAGCTCAGCAGCAGAACATAGTTCTGTTTCTTTGGCCCTCTGTGTGTGTGTGTGTGTGTGTGTGAGTGGAAGGTCTCTTAATAACGGAGTGTGAACCTGGATTTCCCTCAGGGATTGATGAAGTATTCGGTCCCACAGGAGGAACGGCACCCTGTGATATTGTTTCTGCTCGCTCATTGTACTCCTGTGTCGGTCTGTGCAGGTGTGGGAGGGGCTTGACGTGGTAACAACGGCGCGTAAGATGTTGGGAGAGACGAACCCGGCGGACTCGCTACCCGGAACCATCCGAGGAGATTTCTGTGTGGAGGTGGGCAGGTAAGACAAACTTTACAGACAGGAAGCAGGATGATGCAGGTCGGACCTTCAGTCAACGATTCACAATATGAATAAGGTCACTTCCTCTTTATACTTCAGGATATTGGTGACACGATGCATGGAAGGAACATTCATTGTTTTGTTTTAGAGAAAGACTTTAAAGAAGCTGAATGATGAGATGGAGCAATATGTGATGATTTAATTAGTTTTTATTCTCTGTGTGTGTGTGTGTGTGTGTGTGTGTGTGTGTGTGTGTGTGTGTGTGTGTGTGTGTGTGTGTGTGTGTGTGTGTGTGTGTGTGTGTGTGTGTGTGTGTGTGTGTGTGTGTGTGTGTGTGTGTGTGTGTGTGTGTGTGTGTGTGTGTGTGTGGTTTCAGGAACGTGATCCATGGCAGCGACTCGGTGGAGAGCGCTCAGAGAGAGAGAG